CGTCCTTATCTATCTATCTATCTATCTATCTATCTTTCTTTCAATTTCGATCTTTTTATATCAGTCTCTTTCTATCTATCTATCTATCTATCTATCTATCTATCTTTCTTTCAATTTCGATCTTTTTATATCAGTCTCTTTCTATCTATCTATCTATCTATCTATCTATCTTTCTTTCTTTCAATTTCGATCTTTTTTATATCAGTCTTTTCTATCTATCTATCTATCTATCTATCTATCTATCTATCTATCTATCTATCTATCTTTCAATTTCGATCTTTTTATATCAGTCTCTTTCTATCTATCTATCTATCTATCTATCTATCTATCTATCTATCTTTCTTTCAATTTCGATCTTTTTATATCAGTCTCTTTCTATCTATCTATCTATCTATCTTTCAATTTCGATCTTTTTATATCAGTCTCTTTCTGTCTATCTATCTATCTATCTATCTATCTATCTTTCTTTCAATTTCGATCTTTTTATATCAGTCTCTTTCTATCTATCTATCTTTCTTTCAATTTCGATCTTTTTATATCAGTCTCTTTCTATCTATCTATCTATCTATCTATCTATCTATCTATCTTTCTTTCTTTCTCAATTTGTTTCGATCTTTTTATATCAGTTAGTTTATATCTATCTATCTTTTTCCTTTCTTTCTTTCATTTTTTCTTTCTTTCTTTCTTTCTTTCTTTCAATTTCTATCTCTCTCTCTCTCTCTCTATCTATCTATCTATCTATCTATCTTTTTCTTTCTTTCTTTCTTTCTTTCTTTCAATTTCAGTCTGTTTCTATCTGTCTAACTTTTTCTTTCTTTCTGCCTTTTTTCTTTCATTTCTTTCTTTCTTTCAATTTCTATCTATCTATCTATCTTTTTCTTTCTTTCTTTCTTTCTTTCTTTCTTTCCATATATCTATTTCTTTATGTATATACAATTGAAAGTTAGTTCTTTATGCATATCAAAGAAGGTGCAAATAGCTTCGCGGTTATCGGCGGAGCAAATGGAATCGGTGAGCCATGTTCAAATCCCGTGCTACTCTGCTGCATTCCTTTTTGCCTATATTTTAACATAGCTCGTCTCCCCCCAGCTGTGGGTTAAATAGCATGGTAAATTAGATTCTTTTGTCTTTTGTGGAACTAGTCTAAAAGAAAGAAAATTCTAAATTCC